CATACATACATACATACACATTCACAATTATCTATGCACATAACATGTAGATAATCACAGGCGGTCATACTCGACTTTTATTCGGTCGGGTTTAGCAAGCATCGAAAGTCTCATAGGATGCTCGACGACCGTCCTCCTCTTCCACACTCCGCATGGGACGCCTTGGCGGGTGGCCGCTTAACGGCGCTTCAGTAGTCTGATTTCAGAAGTCTTGGTCAGAATCAACACTCTGTTTGAAGGAACTGGACACTTCTGGCAGTCGACTGACATCAAGTTTACGATGAACAGGATACACGAAAGCAACAACAGCCGCACGAGAAGAACTAGACGAACCATTTTCGCGACAGAGCTAGCCAGTATGTTGGGTATCAGCAACAACTCCTGGCATGAAGGATCGAGTTTCCCTCGCTTGTAGTCAAGAGACTATGTGACTATAGCTTACAGTGACAGCAAATCCCACTATGAATTTGCGCTGCCGGAAAAGCCGGCCCGTGGCCGTGCCGTCCAAGCCCGGTTGCGTGAGTCATGCACTAGCCGGCAGCTGGTGATTCCGCCATGCTTCCTGCTCGACATCTAGCCGCCGTGGGCACGTCCTTGCGGGGGAGAGGCTAACCTTACTGGCAGGCCTAGCACAAGAACTAGAACTAGCACCTTCAGCACCGACAATCAAGCCCTGTTTCTTGCAATCCTGAGCCCCTGTGCTCTGCAGGCCCGACGACCAGCCAGAGGGACCATCCAGTTGGGCGGCGCTGTCCTGGGGCGTGCTCCGGGCGAAGTTAGGTGTTTGGAAGAAGTCTGTGCCGTGGGCTAAGAAGGGGCCGATAGTGTGAGCTGTGAGGCCTGTTCGATCACAGAGCCAAGTAGTTTGAGGGGGGTTGATGCACTGCCATTTCTGGAGGCACGATTCACTTGCAGGGCTGTTCTGTTTTTTTTTTGACCGTTCTGATGCTGGCAGATGCAATTAGAAAGTTCGGGTATGAGGGCGAAGGAGATAGGATTCGAGCGCGATGCTTGAGATCTCCAGGAGAGGGTAGATGCGGGGACCGCTCCAGCGCACCTTGGGAGCTTTGGTGATGCTGGGCGCCTTGGCAATCGTGTAGGGTCCAGGGCTTATAGCGGCCACGTCACTGCCCAGTTTGCAATGCGCATTTTCTCTCAACTGCATTCGAAGGCAGTGTTCACAAGATAGAACATGCCGTTCGTCCTTGTGTTTTCGCAATGTGTGAAGGTCATGTTTCCGAGGACGGGTAATAAAGATGCAGACTGTAGTCGCGCACGCATGCTCGTCCCAGGCCCGTGATGGTTGTGTCGGCGACATCTGCCCGCTGGCTCCATGCCTGGGGCAGGCATGATGGAATCTGGAACTTCGATTCAAGCCAGCAGCCACCGGCTGAACTTTAATCCAAAGTCTGTACCTGCAATATTTTGTGGCCCAGTAAACATACACACAGACACACATGTGTGTCTATGCAGTACAGACACGTATGTGCATGCCTGTTTGTCTTTACGCATGTCTGTCTGTATGTCAATTTTTATACATGTATGTATGTATGTATGTATGTCTGTCTGTCTGGAAGGTATATATTTAATGGCTGCCGCCAATG